AAAATCTTGAAAACAAAATGGAGAAAATGCAAGAATCAATTAACAAAGACCTAGAAGAATTAAAGAATAAACATACAGAGACAAACAACACAATAACTTCTGAAGAGCAGAATAAAGTAAGAATGAAAAGAGCTAAGGACAGTCTCAGAGACCTCTGGGACCATACTAAATGCACCAACATTCAAATTATAGGGGTCCCAGAAGAAGAGGAGAAAAAGAAAGAGTATGAGAAATTTTTTGAAGAGATTAGAGTTGAAAATTTCCCCAACATGGAAAAGGAAATAGCCAATCAAGTCCAAGAGGCACAAAGAGTCCCATATGGAATAAACCCAAGGAGAAACATGCCAAGACACATACTAATCAAACTAACGAAGACTAAACACAAAGAATATTAAAAGCAGCAAGGGAAAAGCAACAAGTAACATACATGAGAAACCCCATATGCTTAACAGCTGATCTTTCAGCAGAAACTCTGCAGGCCAGAAGGGAATGGCAGGATATATTTAAAGTACAGAACAGGAAAAATCTACAACCAAGATTACTGTAACCTGCAAGGATCTCATTCAAAATTGATGGAGAAATAAAGAGCTTTTCAGACAAGCAAAAGTTAAGAGAATTCAGTACCAACAAACCAGCTTTACAACAAATGTTAAAGGGACTTATATAGTCAAAAAATACAAGAGAAGGAAAAAGAGCTACAAAATCAATCCCAAACAATTAAGAAAATGGCAATAGGAATATACATATCAATAATTACTTTAAATATAAATGGATTAAATACTTCAACCAAAAGACACAGACTGGCTGGCTGAATGGATACAAAAGCAAGGCCCATATATATGCTGTCTACAACAAACCCACTTCAGACCTAAAGACACATATAGACAGAAAATGAGAGGGTGGAAAAATATTTTCCATGTAAATGGGAAGCAAAAGAAAGCTGGAGTAGCAATCCTCATATCAGAAAAAACAGACCTTAAAATAAAGATTACAAGAGATAAGGAAGGACACTACATAATGATCAAGGGATCAATCCAAGAAGAAGACGAACAATTGTAAATATCTATGCACCCAACATAGAAGCACCTCTATACATATGACAAACACTAACAGACATAAAAGGAGAAACTGACAGTAACACAATAATAGTAGGAGACTTTAACACTCCACTCACACCAATGGACAGATCATCAAAACAGAAAATTATTAAGGAAACACAAGTGTTAAATGATACATTAGATGAGATGGATCTCATTGATATCTTCAGGACATTTCAGCCAAATGCAGAAAACACCTCCTTCTTAAGTGCACATGAAACATTCTCCAGGACAGACCACATCTTGGGTCACAAATCAAATCTCAGTAAATTTAAGAAAATTGAAATCATATATAGCATCTTCTCTGATCACAATGCTATGAGACTAGATATCAATACAAGAAAAAAAGAAAAAAAAAACTGTAAGAAACACAAACACATGAAGATAAAACAATATGTTTCTAAATAACCAACAGGTTACTGAAGAAATCAAAAAATTTCTAGGAACAAATGACAATGAAAACACGACAGCTCAAAACTTTTGGAATGCAGCAAAAACAGTTCTAAGAGGGAAGTTTATAGCAATACAATCCTACCTAAAGAAACAAGAAAAATATCGAACGGACAACCTAACTTTACACCTAAAACAACTGGAAAAAGAAAACAAACAAAAAAAGACCCCCCAAAATTAGTAGAAAGAAAGAAATTATAAAGATCTGAGCAGAAATAAATGAAAAAGAAATGAAAGCAACAATAGTAAAGGTTAATAAAACTAAAAGCTGGTTCTTTGAGAATAAACAAAATTGACAAAGCTTTAGCCAGACTCATCAAGGAAAAAAGAGAGAAGAATCAAATCAACAAAATTAGAAATGAAAAAGGAGAGGTTACAACAGACAATGCAGAAATACAAAGGATTATAAGAGACTATTATGAACAACTATGTGGCAATATAATGGATAACCTGGAAGAAATAGGCAGATTCTTAGAAAAGTTCAATCTTCCAAGCCTGAACCAGGAAGAAATAGAAATTATAAACAGCCCAATTACAAGCACTGAAGTTGAAGCTGTGATAAAAAATCTCCCCAAAAAAACAAAAGCCCAGGACCAGATGGCTTCATAGGAGAACTCTATCAAACATTTAGAGATGAGCTAATGCCTATCCTTCTAAAACTCTTTAAAAAAATTGCAGAGGAAGGCACACTTCCAAACTCATTCTATAAGGCCACCATCACCCTGATACCAAAACGAGACAAAGACAATACAAAAAAAGAAAACTACAGGCCAATATCACTGATGAACATAGATGCAAAAATCCTCAACAAAATTTTAGCAGACAGAATTCTGCAACACATCAAAAAGCTCATACACCATGATCAAGTTGGGTTTATTCCAGGGATGCAAGGATTCTTCAATATATGCAAATCAATGTGTGATACACCATATTAACAAATTGAAAGATAAAAACCATATGATAATCTCAATAGATGCAGAAAAAGCCTTTGACAAAATTCAGTACCCATTTATGATTAAAACTCTTCAAAAAATGAGCATAGAAGGAATCTATCTCAACATAGTAATGGCCATATATGATAAGCCTACAGCAAACATTATTCTCAATGGTGAAAAACTGAAAGCATTCCCTAAGATCAGGAACAAGACAAGGGTGCTCAGTTTCCCTGCTACTATTCAACATAGTTCTGGAAGTCCTAGCTACAGCAATCAGAGAAGAAAAAGAAATAAAAGGAATCCAGACCAGAAAAGAAAAAGTAAAGCTCTCACTGTTTGCAGATGACAAGATACTGTACATAGAAAACCCGAAAGATAGTATCAGAAAATTACTAGAGCTAATCAGTGAATTAAGCAAAGTTTCAGGATACAAAATCAATACACATAAATCACTTGCATTTCTATATACTAACAATGAAAAATTAGAAAGAGAAATTAAGGAATCAATTCCATTCACCATTGCAACAAAAAGAATTAAATACCTAGGAATAAACTTACCTAAGGAGACAAAGGTAATGGGCTTCCCTCATAGCTCAGTTGGTAAATCATTTGCCTGCAATGCAAGAGACTGAGGTTCAATTACTGGGTCAGGAAGATCCCCTGGAGAAGAAAATGGCAGCCCACTCCACTATTCTTGCCTGAAGAATCCCATGGACAAAGGAGCTTGGCAGGCTAAAGTCCATGGAATCGCAAGAGTCAGACATGACTTAGTGACTAAACCACCACCACCACCAAGGAGACAAAAGAACTGTACACAGAAAATTATAAAACACTAATGAAAGAAATCAAAGACGACATAAACAAATGGAGAGATGCTCCATTTTCCTAGGTAGGAAGAATCAATAATGTGAAAATGACTATACTACCAAAAGCAATCTACAGATTCAATGCTATCCCTATCAAATTATCAACGGCATTTTTCACAGAACTAGAACAAAAACTTTCACAATTCATATGGAAACACAAAAGACCCCAAATAGTCAAAGCAGTCTTAAGAAAGAAGAATGGAGCTAAAGGAATCAACCTTCCTGACTTCAGATCATACTACAAAGCTACAGTCATCAAGACAGTATGGTACTGGCACAGAAACAGAAATATAGACCAATGGAACAAGATAAAAAGCCCAGAAATAAACCCATGCACTGATGGGTACCTTATATTTGACAAAGGAGGCAAGAATATACAATGGGGTAAAAATAGCATCTTCAATAAATGGTGCTGGGAAAACTGGATAGCTCTATGTAAAAGAATGAAATTAGAACACTTCCTAACACCATACACAAAGATAAATTCAAAATGGATTAAAGACCTAAATGTAAGACCAGAAACTATAAAACTCTTAGAGGAAAACTTCAGCAGAACACTCAATGACATAAATCAAAGCAAGAGCCTCTATGACCCACCTCCTAGAGTAATGGAAATTAAAAACAAAAGTAAACAAGTGGGACCTGATTAAACTTAAAAGCTTCTGCACAGCAAAGGAAACTATAAGCAAGATGAAAAGACAGCCCTCAATGGGAGAAAATAATAGCAAATGAAACTACTGACAAAGGATTAATTTCCAAAGTATACAAGCAGCTCATACAACTCAATACCAGAAAAACAAACAACCCAATCAAAAAGTGGGGAAACAGCAATCCCACTTCTGGGCATACACACCGAGGAAACCAGATCTGAAAGAGACACGTGCACCCCAATGTTCATCACAGCACTGTTTATAATAGCCAAGACATGGAAGCAACCTAGATGCCCATCAGCAGATGAATGGATAAAGAAGCTGTGGTACATAATACACCATGGAATATTACTCAGCCATTAAAAAGAATTCATTTGAATCAGTTCTAATGAGATGGATGAAACTGGAGCCCATTATACAGAGTGAAGTAAGCCAGAAAGATAAAGACCAATACAGTATACTAACACATATATATGGAATTTAGAAAGATGGTAACGATAACCCTATATGCAAAACAGAAAAAGAGACACAGATGTACAGAACAGACTTTTGGACTCTGTGGGAGAAGGCGAGGGTGGGATGTTTCAAGAGAACAGCATCGAAACATGTATATTATCTAGGGTGAAACAGATCACCAGCCCAGGTTGGATGCATGAGACAAGTGCTCGGACCTGGTGCACTGGGAAGAGCCAAAGGGATCGGGTGGAGAGGGAGGTGGGAGCGGGGATCAGGATGGGGAATACATGTAAATCCATGGCTGATTCATGTCAATGTATGACAAAACCCACTACAATACTGTAATTAGCCTCTGCGTCCTCCGCAGTTCGAGCCCCCAACTTCAGCTCTCTTTTCCCAGCTCCTAGGGGCTTCCTCTCACCGATTTCCTACCTGGCCCACATCTAGGCGATCCCCGACTCCTTTCTTCATGGCGTCGCTTCTGTGCTGTGGGCCCAAGCTGGCCGCCTGCGGCATCGTCCTCAGCGCCTGGGGAGTGATCATATAATGCTCGGAATCTTTTTCAATGTCCATTCTGCTGTGCTAATTGAGGACGTTCCCTTCACGGAGAAAGATTTTGAGAATGGGCCCCAGAACATATACAACCTTTACGAGCAAGTCAGCTACAACTGTTTCATCGCGGCGGGCCTTTACCTCCTCCTCGGAGGCTTCTCTTTCTGTCAAGTTCGGCTCAATAAGCGCAAGGAATACATGGTGCGCTAGAGCGCGGTCGCGCTCCCCCTCTCCAGCCCCCTCCTCTATTTAAAGACTCTCCCCACCAGGTCACAGCCCCCCGCCCCCCATTCTGGTGCCCTCTGCGGACTAGGTTTTCTTGGCGAGAGACTCAATCCCTTGTTCTCCAACCTCTGGCGCCCGGCTCCTGCGGAGGGAGGTTGGGGTTGGCCGTTCCCTGTCCCTCCGGCCCCCTCGCCTCGTCCCGTTCCACAATAAAGAGAAACTGCTCTCTTAAATAAAAAAAAATAATAATAAAAATAAAAATAAATGAAAAAAAAAGATTAAATAAATAAATAAATAAAATAAAAAAGCTTTCCCATAATCACACAGCTAGAAATTACAAAGCTGGTTCCAGTAATGGCAGAGTTGCTTATATCAAAAAAAAAAAAAAAGTGGGGAAAAGAGCTAAACAGACATTTCTCCAAAGAAGACATACAGATGGCTAACAAACACATGAAAAGATGCTCAACAGTGCTCATTATTAGAGAAATACAAACAACTACAATGAGATATCACCTCACACCGGTCAGAATGACCATCATCAAAAAGTCTACAAACAATAAATGCTGGAGAGAAGGTGTGGAGAAAAGGGAACACTCTTGCACTGTTGGTGGAAATGTAAATTGATACAGCCACTATGGAAGATGATGTGGAGATTCCTTTAAAAGCTAGGAATAAAGGCACCATGTGACCCAGAAATCCCACTCCTAGGCATATACCCTGAGGAAACCAAAACTAAAAAAGACACATGTATCCCATTGTTCATTGCAGCACTATTTACAATAGGTAGAACATGGAAGCAACCTAGATGTCCATCGACACATGAATGGATAAAGAAGTTGTGGTACATATACACAATGCAATATTACTCAGCCATAAAATGGCACGCATTTGAGTCAGTTCTAATGAGGTGGATGAACCTAGAACCTATTATACAGAGTGAAGTAAGTCAGAAAGAGAAAGATAAATATCATATTCTAATGCATATATAGGGAATCTAGAAAAACAGTACTGAAAAGTTTACTTACAGACATAGAGAATGAACTTGTGGACATGGGGGCGGGGAGGGTGAGATGTATGGAAAGAGTAACATGGAAACTTACATTACCATGTAAAATAGATAGCCAACAGGAATTTGCTGTATGGCTAAGAAACTCAAACAGGGGCTCTGTATCAACACAGAGGGGTGAGATGGGAGGGGAGTTCGGGGGGAGGGGATATGTGTATACCTATGGCTTATTCAGGTTAAGATTTGACAGAAAACAACAAAACTCTGTAAAGCAATTATCCTTCAATAAAAAAATACGTTTTAAAAAAAGAAAAGCAAGGAAGCAAATTAAAAATATATATATATATAAAGAAATATGACACAATTATGGAATTTTTTTTTTTTTTTTGGCAAGGAAAAGGATTACCTGGAAATCTTTGCAGAAACCATTTTACAGATAAAAAAAAAATCTAGTCCCAGGGAGACACCTGACCAGCCTTTGGTCTCATACCATTAATGGGAGAGACAGTCTGAAGGCTAGCCAGGACTTACTGTTACGGCTGTGTTAAAACATTGAAATGGGGACTTCCCTGGTGGTCCAGTGGCTAAGCCTCTGCACTCCCAGTGCAGGGGGCCCAGGTTCTATTCCTGGTCAGGGCACTAGATGCCACATGCTGCAGCTGAAGATCCTGTGTGCTGCAACTAGACTCAGTGCAGCTGAAATAAAAAACAAAACAAAACATTGAAATGTTCCTTTCTGTTTTTAAACAGTTTTTATTAGGGTATAATTCACATATCATAAAGGTCATGCAGGAAAATTATTCAATAATTTCCAGTAAATTTATACAATTGAGCAACTATCACCATAATGCAGTTTTAGAACATTTCTGTCACCACCAAAAGAAAACACTGAAATACTTTCATGTTTTTAATCACCAAGTCATGTCTGACTCTTTGTAACCCCATTGACTGTAACCCACCAGGCTCCTTTGTTCATGGAATTCTTTAGGCAAGAATACTGGAATGGGTTGCCATGTCCTTCTTCAGGGGATCTTCCCACCCAGGGGTTGAACCCAAGTCTCCTGTGGCACCTGCATTGGCAGATGGATTCTTTACCCCTAAGCCATCAGGGAAGCCCATGAAATACTTCTATAGCAGTTAGTTAATAGCCACTGCCCTCAGACCCCCGAAAGAATCTCCTTCTATGGTCTTGGAATCCCCCCACACCTCACTATGATCCAATTACAGATACCTGGCCCCCGGGGCAGGGAGCATCCACACCCTAGCTTCAGCACTGAGCAGTTTCTGTTATGCGTGGTTGGTACCTGTGCCGCATCTGTTGTTAAATAAGTTGAGTTATCCCCTCTGAGAAGGATCAGGGCAAATGGTCATCTTCTCCGGTTCCTGATCTAGAGCTCTGCACACAGCAATCTGCTTTTGAGAAAGACTAGAAAATAACAAGTGAACGAAAAGCAAACAAGTGCTATGTGACATTATGTGTACATGAAAGACGAGTTTTGAAAAGGGCAAAGGTTATCCATTATTGCCTCTTCAGTAAAGGCCTTCTTACCTTGAGGTTGACAAACCTCTGCCAATGGATGTATTTTTGTGGGGGGGGGGGGTCAGGTAACCTCTAAACTACAAATTTTATGAGTATGAATATTTTCCTGTCAAGTGGGTCCATAGTTTTCATTTATTTATTTATTTTTAGCTGTGCTGGGTCCTCATTGCTGAGCGGGCTTTTCTCTAGTCGCAGCAAGCGGGGGCTACTCTCAAGTTGTAGTGTGTGGGCTTCTCATTGCAGTGGCTTCTCTTGTTGTGGAGCATGGGCTCTAGGGTGTGCGGGCTTCGGGAGCTGTGGCTGGAGGGCTCAGTAGCTGAGGTTCTTGGACTCAAGAGCACAGCCTCAGTAGTTTCAGGGCACGGGCTTAGTTGTTCGGAAGCAAGTGGATCTTCCTGGACCAGGGATGGAACGCATGTCTCTGCATTAACATGTGGATTCTTTATCACTGAGCTGCCAGGGAAGCCCTTCACTTGGCTTTTAAAGGGCCCCCTGTCCCCCTCAAAAGGATAACTTTCTAAGAGGTCTAGGGGAGAAGCAAGGAAGAAAGGTGCTCGAGGTCTGCACATCTGGGTAAAAGAATTCTTGACAGAAAGGCTTGGGGGAAGGGGAGAAAGTGAAAACAAAGTTCTCCTGAGAGTCAGTCTTATTTACAAACCAGGCATTATATAAATCGTTTCTGACATGTAGAATAGGTCACACATACAAACCATCTGTTATTTTGTTAATTTTCTTTGTCTCTTCTTGGGAGATCCACATGAAATGACTAGTTTAGATTCAAAATTATAAAAGAAAATACACTTTTTTAGATATGCTTTTCTTTTTTGGCTGCGCTGTGCAGGATGTGGGATCTTAGTTCCCCAACCAGGGATCAAACCTGAGTCCCCTACATTGGGAGCCCAGAGTCTTAACCACTGGACAGGGAAGCCCCTAAACATGCTTTTAAAAGTATCACTATAAGTTGTGGATTTGGAGTTTTTGATACTTTTTGAAATCCCTTTTATAGCTCAATTGCATTATATTAGCATTTTTAAATCTAGAGTTCAATTCTTCCCTGGTGGCTCAGACGGTAAGGAATCTGCCTGCAATGTAGGAGACCAAGGTTCGATCCCTGGGTCAGGAAGATCCCCTGCAGAAGGGAATGGCAACCCACTCCTATATTCTTGCCTGGAGAATCCCATGGACAGAGTTGCCTGGTGGGCTATAGCCCACAGGGTTGCAAAGAGTTGGACACGACTGAGACTTTCATTTTAAAATTGTTAACTAAAGCACTCCAGTATTTCTACATAAATTACAATGAAGCCAAGTTCCTTCCTCATTTTACAATTTATAAAAGTCATTTTTTTAAACTCAAGATAGTATGTCATTTCCACTGCATTTTATCTTAAACATAGTATTTTAGACAAATCATTGAAAATTTAGATTTCCTCTGATAGGTGCCTGGAATTTGAAATCTGGAAAGAGATCATGAAGATTATACAGTCTGACTTGCTCATTTTATTGATAAGGAAATAAACCCAGGGGTATTAAAAGCCTTGACCAAGCTTGCCAATGACAGAGCTTGGACAAGAATACAAGCCTTGGATTCCTGGCTTGGTGCCTTTCCCAACAACCAATAAACAAGGTGCTGGTTGTTAAACTGCCTCTGTTTCTCTGGTGAGATCACCCAGTGGGAGACTAAGAATAAACCACTCTGGAGAGACACAGACTCAAGTAAGGACAAGTTGACTCTGCCTCTTTACGCCCCAACAAGCAATATTCTCATAGGACTGCTCCTAACTCACCAACCTACTGAATCTCTAAAATTCAAACATTCATAAATCATGTGACATTATCAATATTGCAGGATTTGCCCACTGTTCCCTCTCTGGATCCTTCAACTAATTCGTCAATTTGTTTTCCCATATTTCTTTCCCTTTTCTGCCAGGAAGTCCAGCTGCTTTTAGTCTTCTGTGTTATAGACTGTTTCTTTTCCTTGGCAGGGAAGACCTCAGGTACATATACAGCTTGTGTCTCTTCTGGGTTTTTCTTCCAGGAAGGTGAAAGTGGGGGTAGTTTGTGAGATGAAGGAGAATGAACTCCTTGAACCTGATGGTCATTTCTTTCTTTTTTTAATGTATAGGTCTTCAATACACAGTTTTATGAGTTTAAAAAATTTTTTATTTATTATTTATTTGGCTGTGACCAGTCTTAGTCGCAATGTGCTAGCTTCTCTCTGTGGTGCCTGGGCTCAATAGTTACCCCTTGACACGTGGGATCTTAGTTCCCTAGCCAGGGATCAAACCGCATCACCTGCATTGGAAGGCAGATTCTTAACCACTAGACAACCAGGGAACTTCCCTGATGGTCATTTCTAATTGCTGTGGAAATTTAAAAATGAACATCATTATCAAATCTAACACAGTAATTATTCCTTACTATTATATAATACCTATTTTA